TTTTCATATATCGGTAACATATTAATCGGTCTATACTCGCTCGCTTTTTTTGGTTTGTTTACCTTTGGTATCGGTATTATCGTGGATGTTTTCCATCCTTCTGGAAATTTACCTGTCCTAAGCGAATCATTTATTACTCCTACAAACTCATCTTTTATCACATGTAGCACCATTTTCAGTATATCACTACTTATCCCTTCCTCTGTTCCGTTCTTTCGTGGTAGTTCCCTAACAATTTGTTCCAAATCACTTGCACTAATTGGCTCAAAATTTTCCATAATTCCCTTATTCTCAATTACATAAATAGGTCTCCTACCCGTGCCTTCTATCCCCTTATTACTAATAGATTGCACAATGTTGCTAATACTTTTTACATAATATATATTAAATTTATCAGCTATATTGCATTCTTCTATGTCTTCTAATATTTCAAAATCTACATTATCGATGTTCTCTGAACCCCTTTGCTCACCTTTAATTAATTCTTTTAAAGTTTTCCACATTTTTGTAGGATCACTCCTATTATTATCTATCATATTCTCATAGTATTCTTTTTTTTTTGCCCTGATAAGTTTAACTACTGCATTTCTTTCATTTCTGAAAAATTCCCAGTCCTGTTCTTTACCTGAGTTTATTGCTCTACTGTGAGCCTCATCCCTTCTATCTGCTGCCATTCTAATTTCATCTGAATACCACATTTTCCTTTCCCATATTTTCGGAATCTTAAACTTTTTCTTAGGTGCTACAGTATCCAATACACTTACTATACTATTGACAAATCTCTCCGCCCTTATGCTTATATCTAGCCCTTGACCTTGCTCAGTTCTTTCTTCTATTATTCTAAGAAATTCATCTACATTAAATTTACTATAGTCCCTGCCTCTAAATTCTTTATATTTATTTCTATTTTCATTTATATTAAATTCTACTTTTAGCCATGTATGGTCCGTGATTTTAGGTTTCTCATTCACTTGTACCTTTATTTCTTTATTCGAAAAAATTAAATCTATCATCGTTCGACTATCTTTTGTAACTCTCGTTGGACTATCAACGTATTGCCTCATCCCTAGGTTTTGCATTACCGTTAATAATTTCTTTGTGTAAAATGAATCTACCATTACATCTATATTAAAGTCCCCTATCACTATACAGTCATACTTTATTATTAAATCTTCAACCGTATCTTCCAAAAATCTCACGAAATCGCCATTTGACGCACTCGGCGAATGATACACTACTGCTATCATACCTTTATACAAATTCTCTCTTATTTCTACCACCACGCACCAACAATTTGACACTATCTTTTTCTTATCAACTATTTTAAATTTAATATCATCCCTAACATATAGCAGTACTCCTCCTGTGTTTCTATTTTCAGCATCACATCTAACTATACTATACCCCGGTACATTGACCTCACTATCCTCAATTTCTACAGTCAATCTAGTCTCGGATAACGCTAGAATCACAGGATTCACCCTCTTCATAATCTGATGTTGAATTTCGTCCTCTTTTTTTCTCTTCCTCCAATACTTTCTTAAAAGTCGGACATTCAGAGAGAGAGAGAGAGAGAGAGAGAGAGAGAGAGAGAGAGAGAGAAAGAGAGAGACTATTTGCGTGTCTTATTACATATGTCCTCCGGGGCGAAGCCCGGGTAACCAGCTAGTATATATATATATATATGTATATATATATATATATATATATAATTACAGCACAACTACATATTAAAAATAATTACAATATAAGAAAATCAATTTTTGGCCGCACAGTATACGGGAGGTTCCAGGTTCAAACCCTGGCTGGGGTAATATTTTTCGCAATAAAATTTAAAAATTATTTAATTTAGAAATTACATCAACTGATCAAAACCCATGGTCAAAATTAATAATGTCTCGATGATTGATCCGAAAAAGTGCTGTGTGAATCCGACAAACCAAGTTGGCACACAGTTTTTCAATGTTCATATCGAAAAGACGTTATAATTGCCAGTCACGGTCGATTTAAATTACTTTAATTAAAATCAATTTTTGTTGTATTAAATTAATCTGAGTATCTCGCAGTAATGTTTGGACGATTTTGTAGTTTTCTCACGCCTAAAACAATTTTAGCTTTTAATTATTACAATTACCTATATATTGTAATTCCTTTATAATAAGAGGGTGATTTTTATTATAATAAAAAACTTGCCTTTTTTTTTTAAATTATATACAGACGACAAAATTGTTGATTGAAAATGTCATCAAGTCACATTAGTTTCATAAAGACATGTACAGCTAATGAAATTTTCTATCAATTTGTATTAATGTGAGATTTCCATGGTAATAGTTGAGATTTACGATTTATTGTAACATGTTTGTTATATTTATTATAAGAAAGTACCCGATTATGAGATACCATATCTATTTTGTGTGATTGCCGGAAGTCTAAGGGCAGAATTGAAAAATAAAGTAGGTCATTTTGAAGGGAATTTAATAAGCTTTAAGATGCTGAAATGTAAAATTTAATTTAAATATTAATTTACTTCTTAAGTACTATATCCGTGAATTGTATGCCTTGTCTGTATTTTTACGCATATTATACAATAATGAGACACGCGGGTCATAGACATATATATTTATTTAAATGAAGTAAGCTTTTTAATATTTTAAAGCACGAAAAAAATATTGACTATTTCTGAAATAGAAGACTTATACTATAGTACTTGCATTTATAAGAAGTATAAGAAAAAATGTATTGAATGGCCAATTTTACTGTCTGCCTGTGAAAGATAGAGAATAATTAATAATTAACATGCTTAATAAATAGCGATTGTGAGATGATCTAGCCTAGTGGAAAAATCCGATGCAAAATTACGAAATTTATAAATAATATACCTTTTGCAAGAAACATATAATATATTCAAGTAGATTTAAATAAAAATGACGTATATATTTTGTCATAATTATATAATCCGTAGTGACGTAAAACCATTAATGACATTATTGTAATCCTGATAAAAATAAAAGCATACAGCAAGCATTGGCGAAATATATGAAAGAAGCATAAGTGTAGCGAGGAAAGAGTAACGAAATCTTCTTTTTTTTTGTAAATGTTACATATATGTATAGTTTTTCCAAGTGAACATCCGTCCAAATGGTAAACATATCTTACATATTGCTTAATTTCTGTAATCGGAGAAGAACTAGTACTTAGAGTGATGATACACTTAAATATTAATCGCATAAATATATGATGTGCATATCTGACAAATATATGATATACAATATATCTGCGTGATAGGATTTATTGGTAAGTTTTAAATAGTTGTTAAAACTACATATACATATACGTACATACATACATACATAATGTATATATCGAATCTTATGGAAAAAGTGGCAATCACTGTTTGCCTTGCAATACCTTGTGCCATAATAAAATAATAAAATACAATAATTTATTAAATTAGCAATTGATATACATATGTTTCATAAAAGCAATTGTTTCCTTCTTGGCATTGTAAACTGAAGTAAATAAATGATTCTATTCTATATATATTCATAAAAACACTCGTTTATCTTTGTTTGTTAATGATTCATAAAATATTCTTATACGCGGTACTTCGGAGAAGCGACATAAAGACTCGCGCATCAAGTGTACTGTGACTGTGATATGAGCCGGCGTTAAGAATTAATAAAGATACATTCGCAATCGGGAATCTGATACTTGAAGCTGTTTAACTTATAAAGTTACTAGTGATTAAAAATAAATAACATTATAATAATGTTACTAAGTAATAACTTTTAGCGTTTTCTATTTTAATTTGCGGAAAATTAGTGTTACCATAAATAAGAAAATATTTTATAATTTTTTCAATATTTTTTTATTTAATTGACAATTATATAAAAATACTTTACAATATACTATTTTATAATTTGTTCTATATATATATACGCAAATATTGAACAAATTATAAAATATTAATAAAAAAATACAAATATTGAAAAAATTATAAAATATTTTCTTATTTATGGCAACTCATATGCTAATTTCTGTTTTATCTTTCATACACTTTTAGCTATTACCATCTCGTCGATGATGAAAGATTTGTACATTTCTGATGATAAAACAGTGATTATATAAGGTAAAACTCCTTCTTTTGGAATAATTGAATAGCCAAAACAGTCGATAATGTCAGTATTCTTCAATTACCACCGGGCCCCCGGGCAGTCACGAAAATTTACCCAGGGTTGTCGGTCTTTAATAGTATCTCGTCGGTGACATTGGGTATCACAGTACTTTGTATAGCGCAAATTCTTGTGTAAATAGACTGATAACATCTGCAAGTAATTTCTCCAATAGAGTTGACTCTTTTGGTGGCTCTGCATCAATTTTTAACCGAAAGCTTTCTCGTCTACTCTCGTAACTTAAATGCTCTTCATACTATGTTGTGTAATTTTATTGTTTTTGTTTTTTTTTCTTTTGTACGTTAAAAGGTTTATTACTCGTTAATAAAGTTTATTATTATTATTATTGCTATTATTATTTTTTAAGATTTGGTTGATTAGATCCAGCTTTATACGCGATCAGGTTCATATGCGAAAGTCCATATATGGACCATGTATAGCCTAAACTCCCAAAGTCAATAATGATTTGATATTGCGTTAATTGTAAAACCCCACTTGTGCTACTAAGCTGACCCTTTTTTAATTCATAAAAAGGTTACATTTAAAATGAAAAATAATGTGCAAATTAAAAACTTGCACTTTGTTTTCTCATCATTACAGATCGCTACCATTTCTCCTATTTTATTTCGCTCATAAAGCTTCCTCTATGAGGAAGCCAAATTAATAAATACTAATAATTATGCAACGAATAAAATACAAGCTTCCTCATAAGAGGAGCTTTGTGAACGAAATAAAGTAGGAGAAATGGTAGCAATCTGTAATAATGAGGAAGCAAAGTGCAAGCTTCTAATTTGCATATTTTATTATAATATGCCTTTATGTGTTTAGCTCATAAAAATGTAAAAGCAATCTGGACGCATGGTGGTCTTCTCAGTACGCAGGAAGCCATTTGGAAAGGTATACCAGTGATCGTAATGCCTTTCTTTACGGATCAAAGACCCAATGCAAGAATATTAGTAGCTAAAGGTGTTGGCATACACTTGAATATTAAAACTTTGTCCGCGCAGTCCATATTGCACGCAGTTGAAGAAGTACTTTACAACGAAAGGTATCATATTTCGATTATGTTTTAATTATTACTATTTAAACAGTTTAGCAATATACTTACATTTCAAATAATAATTGAACTCTAATGTATAATTAGTAGATATATGTATATTTTTAAGCTCAAAGCCAAAAAAAGGAACTTGGTTTACAAATAGACCTTAAACACTCATCCATCCATACCATATAAACTACAAACCTCGGCTATTATAATTTCTTCGCTTATGTTCTAACCTGTTTCCACTTCCTTTCTTTCTCTTTCCAAAGCCTTTTTAGTATCCTCCCTTTTTCTATTCCTAACTCATCGTTACAAAGTGTATCTAATTTTTCTTTATAGCTCTTACCTAAATTTACAAACCAGTCGCCAATCACCGTACATTCACCTATGGCCACGTTCCGTAACGCGCATATGCGCGTATCTTCTATAATAAACGTTACGTATACTATAGATAAATGCGCGCATATGCGCGTTACGGAACGCAGGGTATGTAATGTTCCAAATTATCCCTACCCAACTTACAAAATCCACAACTTCTTACATCCTCCTCCAACCAATATTTATTTGCTTTCTCCGTATTACCGCACCTCAATGTTATCAACGCTCTTATACCATCACCCGACATTGACTTGTCCATATTTACATTTGATAAATATCTAGGTTTATCACACGCTATACCCAGCTTCTTATATCTTTTATTGTACCGCGCATTTCTAACCTTACTGTCAATAGTTTGTTCTTGTATATCCTGTTCTCTTTCTCTTATTACCCTGAACATGTCGATATCCTCCTCTCTTGCAGTTCTTATTGCTTCAAGACCCCACCCCAAATTATTAAAATAACCTTCCCTTTCGCTACTGAATAGATCTTTCTTACCACTCCCCGAATTATACTCCACTTTATCTTTTTCCTCCCCACATGCAGCCATTAGCCTATTCTTACTACTTTCTCTACTCCTCTTTTCATACCTCATGGCTCTTAATCCCCATTCAATTTTTAATTTCTTTATGCCCAACTCTTTCGAGATTATATACCGCGGCGTACAAAATTCTATTCTAAAAATCCATCTGATGTAGTCCAGCCAGATCTTTTCTAATTCACTTTTCTCCACCCACCCCCATACTTTCACCCCATATTCCATAACACTTCTAACTAAATAATTAAATAATGTCTGTTTCCTCTTGAAATTATCTTTACATATCCTTTCACCGAGACCCCATACCTTATTTGCTGCTAATCTTTTTTTTCTGGCTATTTCTTTAATATGATCCGTGTAATTTCCTTTCCTGTTAAACGTAAACCCCAGATACTTAAAGGTTTTCACCTCCTCTATTCTTTCCTTACCCCACTTCCAATTTCTTCTACCTAACTTACCACCACTATTAAAAATCATAACCTTTGTTTTTTCTGTATTTAGATCTAACTTTCTATCCTTCATAAATCTTTTCAGTGTATCCATTATATCATTCAGTGCCTCTTTATTCTTAGCCAGTAAAACCATGTCGTCGGCGTAAGCTAACGACCATACCCTATACATGCCCAATACAATTCCGCCTATATTTTGCTTTTCTAACGCTTCGTCCAAATCCGCAATATAAAGACTGAACAGGTCTGGACTCAGAACACACCCTTGCCTCACACCTTTCTTCGTGATGAAGTTTCTCGTAATCTCCCTGCTTGTCCTGACTGATGTCTCCGTTTCTTTGTATAGCCCTTTAATCCTGTTTAACAAGCTGCTGCCATCGCTTTTTTGTTCCAGTACCTCCCATAATTTTCTCTTATCTACATTGTCGAAAGCCGCTTTCAGATCCATAAAAAGAGCATACACCTTGTCAGCTCCACGTTTCTTTCCTTTCTCCCTCTGTACAATGTGGTTCAGGATAAAGATGTTGTCCATAGTAGATCTTCCCTTCCTGAAGCCCGCCTGACTTTCAGGTAGCATTCCTTTAGCTTTTATAACTTTCTCCAATCTATATTCCTCAGAATTTCGGCATACACCTTATATGCTGAGCACAGCCGTGAAATTTCTCTGTAGTTTTCTGCCTTCTCTTTATCTCCTCTTGTACAGCGGTACCACTATGCTCATTTTCCACTCCGATGAAATAGTTTCTTCCTTCCATATCTGCTTTATTAAGTACCAGACAACTCCTCACCGCTGAACCACAAAACCTCTAAGCCTCCATCGGAATTCCGTCTATTCTAGCTGCTTTACCTAATTTCATCCTCTTTACTGCATCCGCTATTTCCCCTTCTTCTAACTCTTTCTCCTCGTTTTGCTCATTCCTTTCGTGTTTCTCACCTCGTATTTCCACAACAGTTGTACCGTCCTCTTTTTCACCTACCTTTCTCTCAGTTCCATTCTCCTTCATTGTTAACACCTTCTCCGTGCCTCTCAATAACTTCATAAAATGCTTTCTCCACTCTTCTCCTTGAATATTGTTCTCCGTCCGCTCCTTCTTCTTTCTTCGCCTGTTTATAAACCTCCAAATCTCTTTTTCATTCTTCAAGTTTCTCAACTCCTCCTCTTCTTCAGCTCTTTTGTCTTTCCTTCTCTTCTCTAGCAACTCCTTAAAGCCTCTCCTTCCTTCTATAAGTCTTCTCTTCTGCCTCTCCCCTTCTTCTATTTCCTATACTTCCTTTTAACCTCCCTTTTTTTCCTCGTGCAGCTTCTGTTCCACCAATCCTTATGACCTATTTCTTTCCTCTTTGACTTTTTAACCTCCTTAAAAATTAGTGCACTATGTATGACCTTTTTTATTCTTCTCCATTTCTCTTTTACCGACCATGACTTTTGCCACTTTACACACCCTAGCTCCGTCGTCCTTTCGTTATATAGTCTCCTCGCTTCCTTGTCCCAATTTATTATTTCCTCACGATGTTTCGTTCCTCGTCCTCTTTTTCTCCTCCTTCTGCAACTTGTCTTCCGATCCCCTCCAACTCCATAGCCAGAGGTAAGTGATCCGAGTCCACCCTGTCGTTTACCTTAAATTCTAAAACTTTGTCATGAATGTATTTGTTTACAATAATATAGTCGATTACCGAACTCCCTCTCACACCTACATAAGTAAATTCGCCTTCCCAGTCACTCATTGTTCTACCGTTTAGTATATACCAGCCTCTTTCATCCATCATATCCGTAAACTGCCTACCTCCATTACATACAACTTTATCCTTACTTTTCCTTTCCACATCATAGTCTGCCAATCTATCCCTTCTAAACCTCCCCTATCCTTATATTAAATCGCCTCCTATAATTATTCCTTCACGCTCATGCCTTTCCGTAATTTTCTTAAATATTGTCTCTAAATCATTCACCAGACCTTTATTATAAATTGTGAAAATATTCAGCATTGTACCTTCTCCTGAAAGCCATGTATGAACTACGCCATCTGATAACATTGCAGTCTTTACTTCATCGTAACTCCTAATCCAATATGTTCACCCACTCGTGAGAACCTGGTAATTTGTCCTTAATCCTATCCCATCCTTTCTTCTGTAGCCACGTCTCGCATAATCCTACAAAATAATTTCTTATTATATAGTTCCAAAAATCCTTGTTCTGTCTCTCTAGACCCGCTACATTCCAGAATAAAACCCTTCTTTTTCTGTTATTATCTCTCTCCAGTCTTCCATTGTCCTTCTTACCCTCTTCATCTTCAACCGTATTCCTCGACTCATCCTTTAATTGGCTGTCCTTCAGAAATTTTTCCCTTCAATGAGCGTGTTTTCCTCCTCACTCCACACATACTTCCTTCCTTGTATTTCTAATTTCTTGTATCCTATTTTTACCCGTTTTCCATCCATCTTTTCTTTCCACGCGCGGTTTTTTATCTTTCTTTGTACCTCTCTTTCCTCGTACGACAGATCGTGATCGATGAAAATTTTCCTGCTTCCTAGCTTACTCTTTAATTTCATTACAATTTCCTTTGAATCCCAGCTGTCCATTTCCACAACAATTACTTCCTTTCCTAACTTACCTGATGTTTGCATTTTTTTCACCCTCTCCTTGACTCCAAACTCCTCCAAAAATGTCTCTGCTGTTTCCCTTATACATCTACTGTCCTCCTTTTGCAATCCTCTAATTTTGTTTCTTTTTTCCCTCTTATCTCTTATGCTTCTTTCGCTCTTCTTTACTAACTGTCACCTTTCCTACAATCTCTTTAATTTTGCCACTCTTTTCATCCACAACTATGCCTTCCCTTGTTTGTTCCATCTTCCGCAGACTAGCCTCTAACTTATCCATTCTGTCCTCCAACCTTTTTTCTCTTATGGTCCAACCATCCTCTAATTTGCTCATTCTTTCTTTCATCCCTTTCATCTCCACCTTCATATCCTTCAACTCAGCATTTATCTCTCTCAAGATTGCCATCAATGAGCCGTCTGCTTCATTCTTCTGCAATACCGTCGTATCTCCGTCCTCTTCTCTCTTCTCTCTTTCGGGTCCGGTTCCAGCCATTCGCTTATCTAAACCTGGAGGCGTTCTTACCTTCTTGTTATCTCTCTTGAAAATGTCATTCGCACTATGTTCTTGTTCCTCTCTTTTCCCCTTAGCCTTCTCTATTTCACATGCCATACTATTTTCGCTTCTCACAAAATCTAGTATGCTGATGGTCGAACTCGCTCTTTCTTTCCCTCATTCTCAGTTCTTCCTTTGAAAGGCTTCCTCTTCCTCTTTTCTCCTCTTTTGGTACAGCAAAAGTTTCTTTATTCGTTTTTTCCTTTCCTGACTTATCTAAAATTGTATCTGTACTCACATTCATATCTGTTATCAACTTGCCCTCGTCCATCTTTATGCCTAATCTATTCCGCCAATGGGCTCGCTCAGCGCACGCCACCGCTACACACTCCGCGTTGATGATTAGTTGGTTCTTAAAGTAAGAACCAATCGCGCTCGACTATTACTGAGCAGTTTGATTCGCTGAGCGCGCTCAATGTCGCCACCTATACTATATCCACGCAACGCAAACGCTTCTTTTTAGAACGCAAACGCAGCTCTCCCCCCTTTTCGCTCCCTAACCTCTCGCTCTCCACTTTGCCTTTAACGCACTTTTACTACGATATTAATGGGCTTCCAACTTCCTTTATTATCCTATCTTGATTCTCTATTATTCTTTCTACCTATTTAACTCTTTAACGCCTGTTAGGCTTCTTATTTCACCCATACGTACACACCACACTCGCTCCTCTAACCAAGTCCTAATAATGTTTAATTAGTATAATCGATTTATTAATTCTTTTAGAAACAGTTGCTTATAAATTAATAGATTATAAATTTTTTCTTTTCTGTTTATGTCTTGTCCTATTTGTCTTTTTAATGAAGATGCGGTCTTTAATTAAAATAAAATTTTTGTATTACATCATTAATAATAAAACATTTGTTTGTACAGTTATACAAGAAACATGAAGCAATTATCCAGTGAGTTTCGGGATCGGCCAATACCGCCATTAGATTTAGCTGTTTGGAGTGTTGAATACACCGTTCGCCATCCAAATGGAACTTTAGTAACACCGCTGAGATCTCAGAGCTGGGTGGAACAAAATCTGATTGATGTCTACGCAATTTTGTTTCTTAGTTTCTTCATAATATTGTTAAGTATATTTTTTGTAATAAAGCTATTAATTAATTTTTATTATAATTATATGTACACTGCATCTAATTTACGCAAGAGTAAACAAGCGTAAGTCGTATTAAAAATTATTAACAGGCTTTGCGTGCAGTTGCTGCATATAATGTTAATGTAAAGAAGTGAAATTACCGTAAATATAGAAAATTTTGTATTAATTGATATTGTAATTAATAATAAAATATGTTACACTAAATTGTAAAATAAATCAAGATTGTGGTAAAATAAAAAACATTTAATAAAATATTTTTGATGTATAAAAGCTTCTCTTTGACGATAAATAAAATAACACATTATTGTTAGCAAAATTTTTATTCCAACATTTACGTAAATATAAATATTTTTTAGAATTCTCTTAACTTGAATGTAAGAAGACATACGTCCGTTTGCTCAAACGGTTACGTGTAATCATTGATATGAAACGAGGTATACTCTCGCAAAGAAAATAACTATGAGTTGAAGATGAAAGGAGAAGCAACCAAATATTGATACACAACTGATTATTTTGTTTTTAATGATTCCTGGAAGTGAGCACTTTTTTTGTCCAAGTAAAATATAATATAGTTTAAATAAAAACTTTATAAATTACAAATTATTCTTGATCATTTAATTTTGTACACGTCTTGAATAAGTCGTAATCAGCACGAGGTCCAAGAAAGAGACACGGCAATTCGAATGTCTACGAAGTATTTTAAACGTTCTATTTATTTTGTAATATAAATGAGCAAATGCCACAATGGCTGTTAAACAATACGTAAATGTAGTGAAAATTCATTTAAACATATACATGTAGTAAATATGGCAAAGAAATATAAACTCATATCTAATTCACGAGAATTGAATACGAGATACTTTATGTTTATGTAAACTTCATAATACAGAAAATATATCCAGAATCGTAACGCAAGTAATTCGAAACTAAGTATATGTAAGAGATATTTACAATGTTTTATCATTAGCAATTTGATCAATTGTCGTAATAAGGAGCGAATACATTTTACGAGAGACTAATTATCCGTATAATTATTCATACACGACAACATAAAAGACGTGTAAGACTTTAGGTAAAAGTTACGCGTGGTTGCAACCGATATTAGCGACGTTTTACTTTGAGCACTCAAAGGAAATAATCCCGGTAGTTAAAGCACAGGATTATATCGTGGGATGATGCCCAGCAATCAACAGCGAGGCGACTGTACATTTCAGCATCCCATGTAAAAAAGGAAATCTCCTGAATGTTCTGCAATCAGAGAGCGCATATATCTACAAAAGTAGTACCCTTAGTTTGCTCCATGATTGTTGCCCAGAACATCAAGAGTTACCTTATAGCCATTCTTTCACATGCGTGAAATAGTTCTCCCGCTTTTGGGAGACTGGCGGAATAGTGAAAGCCCAGCAAGCGATCACGGATAAAACCTCCTTCCGTATCAAGACATGTAATGGGCGAATCCCCGAAAATGGCGACGTCCGTCCTTCTCATGAATTTCGTCCTTCCTTCTCCCGGGAAAAAATATTCATATCTGATCATATATGATCATATATGAATGGCCATATATGGTCAGATATGGAAATTGGCCAGATCTGAGGATATATGATCTGGTATTATTGTATATGTTAATATCTGATCAGGTATGATCAGGTACGAACTATATATTTATCAGGTATAAACATATATGTTTAAGTAAGTTTCAGAAAATTGTTATATATTTTCAAAAGTTATTTTTTAAGAGTGCAACTTTATTATAAAAGTAGACTCCACGATACAACTAATACAAAAATTGTGCCGCTCTATAGTGCGAGACAGTGTCGTGTCTTTTAATACCGTTCTTATAACACTGTTTGTCAAATTTTAAATACGAGAAACAGATCCCATCGAATGCCATCTATTGAATACTTTGAGATGCAATATCTGATCTGATCATATATAATATTATATGACTATATAGGTTCATACATGATTATATATGCTCTATATATGGGTATGTAAAACTTATATCTGTTCATATCTCATTTATACATGTTCATATACTGTCAAATATGAATATTTTTCCTGGACATTTTGTTCGCGGATATAAAAGTCCGGGAAAAATATTCATATCTGACAGTATATGAACATATATAAATGAGATATGAACAGATATAAGTTTTACATGCCCATGTATAGAGCATATATAATCATATATGGTTATCTATCGCCATATATGATCAGATCTTGTGTCATGTATAATGTACGATGTGATCATATATAGCGATAGATAACCATATATGATTATATATGCTCTATACATGGGCATGTAAAACTTATATCTGTTCATATCTCATTTATATATGTTCATATACTGTCACATATGAATATTTTTCCCGGACATTTTATATCATTATATCCCAATCTGGTCGTATATAGACAGATCTGATCATGTTTCATATCATTTCCGGCCGTATACGAACATATACAATCATATACAGCATCGCGTCTTGTCATATATGATCATATACAGTGCCGATACAGTTATGTATGGCCATACATAATTATATCTGATAATACATAGCCGAACATTCTTTATATACGACCATGTAAGGCCAGATACGATTATGTATAGATACGATTATGTATAGTGTCATATCTGGCTACACATAATAATATGTCTGACCATATATGAACTTATATGATCAGATCTTGTGTCATGTATAATGTACGATCTGATCATATATGGCGATATATAACCATATATGATTATATATGCTTTAGATATGGGCATATAAAACTTATATCTGTTCATATCTCATTTATATATGTTCATATATGTTCATATCTCATTTATATATGTTCATATACCGTCAGATATGAATATTTTTTCCCGGGCTATCTCCGTGGTCGTCCTTTTCAATAATTCTGGCCTCGTCATGAAATCATCACACCTTCGTACACCCACTGCAGATATCGGCGGCAGGTCTCAGAATTTCGGATAGCTATAATATACAGCAGACAACTCAGGATAGCTCGGACACTTCTGACCACGATGGACGAATGATGTCGAATGCTCTCTTTTTTCTCGTCTCTTGTTCTCGCACGCACGTACTTCCGAGAAGAACCCGGAAATCGCTTATTGCTAGGTCGCTATGCGGCTGCGCCGCTTCGCGCGCTACGTTCACACGCTTGTTACTAAATCGTATCGAATCGGTTGACGCTTCACAATTGTCATAAATGGCATCATGCTTCATGGGCGAGGGACCTCAACGCGGCAATTCAAACAAATTTGTATTTGTAAAATTGAGAAACAGTAGTATAGAAAATTCTTCTTGTTAAAATATTCATGTCCTGAAGAAAGTTTTATAAGACAACATAACAAATTTTAAAAAGGGTGAGTTCTTGCAAGCATTATATGTCTGATTCGTCGGAAGTGATTAAAAATTAATATAAATATTAATAACAAGTTATTATTATTATTTACGTAATATCAAGTTTTACTATTTACATGCGATATTTAGCGTGATAAAAATATTTATTGACAAATATTAATCAAAGACTATAAATAAAATTACAAGCTTTATAAATATGAAAGTTGCAACGTGTTGTTATAAAGAGTAGTATTTAGTACTTGTATGAGTTATTATTTAAGTTGAATTGTTTTAATTGCGTTATCTATAAAATATTGATTAATTGTCTCGTCTGTTATAAATATATATTAATTTTTTATATGCATTAAATAAAACAGGTAAGCATTATTGTTTGGGAAATATCGCGGTTAAAGACATCTCACGCGCTAATCGCTGCAAAACATTGTTAAATAGCCGCCGGTCTTTTAGAATTAAAGTGTTCAGTTATTATTTTCAATACACTGTTATTACGACGTAAAAACGTCACGATCATTTCGCTAAAAAGTTTTGTACGTACAATTTACGCTCGTAGTTTTTGCATTTCTTACTCATTTTGTAGTACTCAAAATCGTCGTTGTCGCACGATTTGCAATACTTACTTTTCATCTGTAGTTCTATACGGTCCGGAACTCTTCATTGATTACGCGCGCCAATCGCGAATAGCTATAGTCGCGCATAATCACATAAGCTACAGATTGCTTAATGTAACGTAATGTATGTTAAATATATCATTGCCAGCTTTTATGCTGTCTAAATTGATTCTAAAACTCCTCTTTTGCCTGTCACTCAGTCACGCCTTTTTCACTTCTCTAACAATCATAAAACATTTGTATTTATAAATTTTATCAAGAATAATAGAATATACCCGAGAAAAAATAATTTTGACTAATCATATATAATTGTATATGATTATGTATAGAATCATAAATGAATATATATAGGTATATTTATGATCATGTATATTTACATCTTGCTCCTTCTATGATTATACATATATGGATCCATATATGATTAGATCTGACCATTCCTATGTTGATATGACTATAATATATTCTAATTCGTATGAGTAGGTACAGATTTATATATGATTAGACCTAATCAAGCCTGACTCATACCAGACTGTATATGAATTCATATATGACTATATTTAAATCTATGTATGATTCTATTTAATCATGACTGGCTAATATGAACTCGCACCTGAGTATATGTAAATTTATATATAACTAGATATATATCTATATATAATTGTGCGTATTTAGATCTGACCATTTCTATGCTGATATAACTAATATATTCTAATTCGTATGAGTAGGTACAGATTCATATATGATTAGACCTTATCAAGCCTGACTCATACCTGACTGTATATGAATTCATGTATGACTAAATGATATATATATATCAAAACCTTCGTATGTAAGCAAATGACGTTCAATATTATTGAATTCTATATTTGTTATGTATTTAAGAGCTCATAGCTTTTTGATCTCATATTCCATTGTACATTACATTATTAGCATTACGTTCCCGTTCTGTTGAATATGGCGCTCTAGCGCCTTGTAGCGCCTCTATGTTCGCACAGGCACGCCAACGCTTGCTAGGGAAAAGATTGCGTGGTGGCAGCGCTGTACCGCCGTTGTACTAGACTCTCTCTCACTATCTGTGTACTCTAGCCTGTCCTATGTATGTTATGTTGCAGTGTGTATAGAAACGTCTTTCTGTTCAAAGCATCCTTTCGTTATGTTCATTTTTGAGTAAAAGACACACTGCCTATTGTATTCAGCCTTTTATAATTACACGTATTTTAACCACAGTATCCGGCGTCTGTTATTAAATAACCCTGCGCAAAACGTTCGTTCAATGGCACGGACTTTTCAAAATTAGTACTCCTTGAGCAATAACTAGATTATTGACAATTTCTTGACCCAAGTGTTTATTACCATGCACAAATTTTGCAATAAATCCGATATAATTCTCGAAGGAAAAGCTGACGTCGTCCATAATGGACCCCATCTTTCGGCGCATAGTGTCAAATGTATAAGTTGATGAGTATTACACATTAATTCTCTGTCACTGTACAGTTTTTCAAATTGTTTTACAAATAATTTAAGTAAAATATCTAATTGTTTAAGATCAAACTGTGTAATTTGATTTTGAAGTAAATTAAACAATGCTATAACTAACATCATCCAGTGCTGAAAATATTCATTAGACAAATGATCAATAAGAGCTATAAGAGAATAAAATAACAAAAAATTGTAATTTTCGGATGCATTATAAAATTGATAATATGTTAAAGGTCTTGGTAATCGACAAAATGATTGAAGTGGTCGTATATTTGTGATAAAATTATCAATATCTTTACTCTTTTTTTTAGGACCATTCCAAGGACCTTTTTTATCAAACCACAATTTAATAAGTTGTTTTACTATCCCAAGAAGAACCGAGTGCATCACCCAGGTAAAACACATGTTCCAATATCAATCAGCGGCATACAAAACAATCTACTACTACGGAAAAAAATAATTTTTAATCCAATTATTTGTTACATTTTTGTAGAATTAAATTATATTGTTAGAAAACTATAGTATCTATGTCTGACACCTTCCGTACATCTGCTAACAATAAGTGTAACATATGTAGTACAATACGAAACGTCTTTATTAATTAACGTTGTAGCACAGTACGTAAGGTGACTGACTCAAGATCCTAGGGGTTCCAGGTTCAAATCCAGCGGTGGTCAGCAAATTTCCCAAATACAATATAAATTTAATTAATTAAGCTTGCACATAATAAAGATTTTCGGCAATAAAATAATGTTTAACGAGAAAAATAAATTTTATATTTTTATATTTTAATGGTCAAATATGAATAGATATGACCGTCTATATGATTTTGTATGAGCATGCATGGTCAGACCTGGCCAATTTTCGGATCTGATCATATAAACAATAATGTATGATCATATATAATTAGTCAAAATTATTTTTTCTCGGGTAAAAACAATTTTATGTATTTTACTAATTTATTAATTTAAATCACACTTTGAATTAAATAAGTGGTATTAAATAAAATTTAGCGATATTTTTACGTAAGGTTAGGAGCATCAAATTTAATATTAATTCAAGAAAGGATATTATATTTTAAATCTTGTAGTATAGGTACACATATATCTATTGTAAGGTGATAATGTGAATTGAATGTGCGCGCTCTGATCTACCACCCAATGCTACTCCCGAAATGAGAATTATAGTCTGCGCATGCCGATCGATCTACGGCAAGCTTCGCTCGATCTCGTCCTTTTTCGTTCTGGGGACTCCAACCGATCAACGATCAACACATAACTGAAGGGCTGAGGCAATTACATCGGAATCCTCTGATCGGCAATCAAACTTCTTGAGCCTGGCCCGGCCTGCATGTCAGATAAATAAATTAAGGAGAAAGAAGGAAGTCTCCGGAACAGGCGAGAGAGCCAACGAGAGAAAAGCGCAATATTGTATACGATCATAAAAATAAGTACTCGACTGTGTGACATGACAAATGTCACGTCCCTCACCTCAGATGGGAGCTCGGCCGAGGGAGGCGTCAGAGATGGCGGGCGGAGAGCGAACATTTAGGTTAGGATTAAGATCTGTTGCGAGCGTTACAGGTTGAGGGAGAGCGGAGCAGATGGCCAGGGTCACGACGTTGTAACAGCATGTGCCGCATCGAGGAACTTACGGCTGGACAGCAGGAAGCTCCCGAGGGCGGACGGTCGACGGGCGGGTCACGCTGGAGCGCACAGCCGGAAATCAGCTGGCCTGTCAAGGCGTCACCAGCGGCACGAGAGCACTGCAGCCCGAATACGGAGGACCCGAAGAGAGGGACGCCCCGACGAAGGTTCCCGTCAAGGAACGGGGCCACCACCGGTGTAGCGCCACCGGTCGACGAGCCATGGCCCGGCCAGCCTGGCCGTCGAAAAACCGGACGATGAGTCGCGGCCTGGACAGCCGGTCTCACGTAGGCGGGCTTTAAATCTACCGCCGGCGGATGGGGGCAGTGACAAGGGGCGCCCTAGTAAGGCGCGACGGTCGCCTAGGAGGATCGGTAGCGTGCCAGGGCGCAGCACCTGATAGGGCTAGGGACACCGGCGCGCGCGCGCGCGCGGGGGCTCAGCGTGGTCCCACCTGGCCGAAGGAACGCCACTGTCGTGCGAGCCGCCATCCCGGCAACATCCAGCCCTGCGAGCCGAACGACGAGCTGCCGGAACGAGGAGAATTTGTAAGGCCACTGCTCAGCCTCCCCAAAGTAAGATCGCGGTAATACCAAGGCCCTCCCGGGAGTCGCGTTGTGCCGCGGGAATAAATGGAATCAGCCGTAATTGAAGAATATCGAGTGCCATACCGCAGGAAGGCCCGTGCGACAAAGTGATCGCGAGTGCCCGTCTCGGGGATGAGAACGTACGGCCGCCGACAGTCAGCGTGATTGTAATTTCGTTGCGTGTGATTTCGTTTCGTGTACTTCCGTTGCGTATGATTTCGTTGTGGGTAATTTCGTTGCGTGTAATTTCGTTGCGGGCAATTTCGTCGCGTGTAATTTTGGAATCGTCGTTGGCTTAACCGTGCCGTAGTTTGGGAGGTGGCTCTCGCGCGTGTGAGCGTCTCGCCGTTACCGTTGCCGGTTAAGTTCGTGCCATTTGTAATTGGCTATCCGTGCGTTTC